CTGAGAGAGGAAAGAACCAGTCATGAAAAATCCTCATAAAATCCTCCCACTAATGTAGCAACTAGATCTACCACCAAACTTCTTATGAACCTGTCTCTGTCACCTCCCCTCTACTTCCCCCTCGAAAGCAAAAGTAGATAATGTGATCCTCCTCTCTTGAGGGCAGGGCAAACCATCAATGATTTTCTCTACTCTCAACAACTAGTTATGTGTCTCAACTTGACCTCCTACACCTGAACATAATGGTGGTCGCATGTCCTGGAACAACTTCAGATATTTATCCATCTGAGTCGTTCCACTACCACTGGCCTAGGTCAAAGAACCATGAATAAGTCTTGTAAATGTTATCGTCATCTGAGTAATAGCCTCCTTGTGGACGCTAGCACCACTAGATGGAGGATTGGTATGTGCTAGAGGCACCTGATTCTGATGATCGACACCTCTTACCTCTCTCCATTTCTATCTTTATCTTCCGGTTCATAATCAATTGTCCTGAGATGACAAAATATTACATTTTTAACCTAACATTTAATTACTTTTTAATTTTCTTAATGATTGTTATTAATTTTTTTAATGGCTCTTTTATGATCATATTCTTATTGCCCTTAACCTAGCTCTGATACTACTCTTGTGACGACCCAGCCTAGGAGCTTGAAATTATCAAGGCGAAACTAATAGTCTGATGGAGAAAATCTATCTAACAGTTTCATTTCATCACAAAAATAAAAATTCAAAGCACAAAACAGTCATTTTGATTATAAAATTTAAAGTTACAACCATTTCTTACCGATTTTTAAATATTTAGAACTAGCAGAAAATAAAAGCTAGCTTATTATATCTATCAGCTTGCGCTTCATGGCGTCTGTACACGGACTCCCTAAGGTTCATCTAATTTACAACTAGTTTTCTTGTAAAAAATGTTAGCAACTAAAGTTTAAGTTAAACTACCGAGTTGACAAATATTTCTAAATTATGATAATTTTCATTTTAAATTATTTTTATAAAAGTATGTTAAAAGTAAAAGTTGTGCAGTAAAATAGAACAGTAAAGAAAATAATTTTATTTCTTTTCATTTATTTAATTGCACTTTTCATAACTGAGAGTCACCGTCTAAAAATATACTTTTAAAAAAAAATATTTGTTCTATCATTTCCAACTCACTATAGAAAAAGAAAATCATTTTCATTTTCATTTCAATTTCGTGCATGGGTACATTGCATTCTCTGACTAGTACCATCCAGGGGTGACTCCTATATGCGTGCATATATCTTATTTTATTCATTTTTTTATCTTATATTTAACATTTAAAAGGAAATATGGACTTTTATAATTTAAAAATAAAAGCCAGAAAACAGTAAAAGCATACGTAAATAAACAGAATTATTGTAAAATAAAACATATTACCCACCTCAACAGTGTCATTTGCTATCATTTCCCTCGGGTCAATCTAGTACTTAGGTGCAAATAAAATAAAAACATATTGCACACCTCAACAATGTCATGTCCATATATCATATTATATTCATTTTCTTATCTTGCATTTAAGATTTAAAAAGAAATATGGAATTTTGCAGTTTAAAAATAAAAATTGAGAAACAGTAAAAACATAAGTAAATAAACAGAATTATTATAAAATAAAGACATATTATACACCTCAACGGTATCTCCTGCTATCATTTTCCTCGGGTCAATCTTGTCCTTAGGTGCACATATAATTACAATTTAAAAGTAATTAGTTTTTTCTTCAGATTAATCTTCTCTCATATTAATTCTAGATTTTATATGCTTATTTTCTTTGTTTTTTATTTCATTAGCTATTTATTTACTTATATTAACGCGCGGACGCGCGCCCCCCCCCCATATATATATATATAATTAAAAAAACCCCAGGGTTGATATATTAAAGAGAAAAGATACATATAGGTTGTATGGGTGAACCTCAAAATAGGTACCCAACCCACACGGAACAACACACACAAAAAAGTTAAAAAGGGATACATATAAAAATGAAAAAAAACCCAAAACCACCAGGGTGCAGAAAAAGTGAGGGTCATCCCATTATAGTATTGTCTCTGGCTCTAGTTCTCGGAAGGGATCCAACTAACAGAGTAGTAAGGTGCGTATCATTACCCGAAGTAACCAAATTATCATCCATAAAACTCCTGAGCTCAAGTAGATCTTCATTCTTCTTCTTCCTCCTAGAAGTGTAAACCTGTCATTCCTCATCTGAAGAATCAGTCTGATGAGGTGGTAGAGCTGAAGCAGAAGGATTACCAACCGTAGTACCCACAACAAGTTCTATAAGTTTGAGTTGTCTCTACACCGGATACTTCCTGAAGAAGGGGAGCTGCGAGGTTCTCCTGAATATTACCTTCGTAGGTAATATTCCATAAGTATTGTTTTCTATGGGGTTTGAAGGTGCCATCATCACATCACTCGCAGTAATAGTATAGTAACAGCAATGTCATTGGGGGTTCTTCAGGGGTAACAGACACCTCTTGTCTGGTAGTATCCTTCCTAGGTGGAACTAAAATGTCCAGAGCAGCGGAGTTAGACCCATCCTTATTCACTTGAACTTTAGATTTCAAATTTAGATGAAACTTGTCGTGGCATTTATCAAGGACATGCCCAAACATCTTACAGTGGGTACAATATGTAGGTTTGTGTTTCATGACGATTTGTTGCCAACATCCATTATGGGTTCTGCCCGGTCAAACTTCAATAACATCAATTAAAGTAATATCCATTTTCATAAGTATTCTGACCACAGAAGGTCTGGTTAGATTAAAAGTAGGTAGATCTAGCTTCAAAGGGTCCCCAGGATGACCCAAATAGAGTAGAAAATCTGATGGTGAAAAAAATGCAGTATTTTCATAAGTATTCTGGCCACAGAAGGTCTGGTTAGATTAAACATTTTCATAAGTATTCTGACCACAGAAGGTCTGGTTAGATTAAAAGTAGGTAGATCTAGCTTCAAAGGGTCCCCAGGATGACCCAAATAGAGTAGAAAATCTGATGGTGAAAAAAATGCAGCTTTAGACCAAGTAGACTAAGCATACCGATACAGTGGGAGTTTCATGATTTGGGTCAAAATTAGGAAACCAATTGAGTAACTTCATTGATTTGCCTGCGATATTAAGATATTTCTGGGAGAAAATCCATGTGTAGTCTTCAGTCAATGTTAGTTGAATCAACTCCCGTCTGTGAGTCTCACTTTCCACTTGTCTACTAGTTTAAGATCATCAACTCTCTTTCTGATAACTTCCATAGGTGGGTGCCCCCACTGAAATTTTTCAATAAGAGCAAACTTGAATTTTTCGGTCGGAGTAGAAATTTCTGAGTCAGAGAAAAAGATTGTTGTTTTTCCACCTTTCCTACTTCCCTTCTTAACAAAAGGGCAATCATCTGTACCATCGCGACAATCCTTATAGCATGAGGGAAATAACACTGCGGACTCCACCTGAGGGTTACCTACCACGTGAGCAAAGGTGGTCTTTGCCGGTTCAGCCATAGAAGAAGGAAATGACATCATATCAAGGAGATGTGTCGGCGTTCACCTGCAGCGTGTTCCTGACAAGCAGAAGACTGTTGTTGTCGGGCCGGAGAGAAAACACGGTAGCAGACGCAAAACAGAAGAAAACAACTGTTGTTGTGGGGCCGGAAGGAGAAGCGCGGGCGCAAACGCAAATAGAAGAGAAGCGTCGAAATAGAAGGAATGAAACTGTACGCAGAAGCGAACTCGCACGCCGATGGAGACCGAGCCAATCTGCGACCGACGATGCAGACGCAGACCGAAACTCCTCCTTTTCCTATCTTAGGTAAGGCACAAAAGCTCTCCCCTTCTCCTTTTATTCGCTCAGGTAGGCCGTTTGAGCCTTCCAGATACTCAAATGAGCTTCCCCTTGCTCGCGACACTCGATAAAGCCCTCTCGAGCCCTCTAGGTACCCAATCAAGCTTCTTCTTCTTCCTCCTCTTTTCATCAGGTGTTCACGGCACTTGACAGAGCCGTTCGAGCTCTCTTTCCTTTAGTTCAACCTCGAGCAGTGGAGGGAAATGACCAGGTAAACCGATTGCCTCCTCTACCTCCTCCATCTTCTTCCTCTACTGCTTCTTCTTCTTCCTCTTCAATTTCTTCTTTCTTATTCCTTTTCTTCCTTTTTTTCTCTCGTTTTTCTTCTGGCTTTCTCTCTCGCTCTCTCTGGCTTCCCACTGCCCCCCTCTCTCGCTTGGTTCAAATGATAGGAGATGAGGAAAAATCCTTGGCTTAATGCTCCCATGAGTGGTGCCGGTTTCGCTCGACCAACGGTTGTGTCGTTACCAACAAAGTTTCTTTTTTTTTGTTTTCATGTTCTGTTGATTAATTTAATTTTTTTTTATATTTGTTTATTATTGCAGGGTTGGCTTGAAACCTGTTTGCTAACCGCAGGGTATAATGCAAAATTTAATATTGAAATAAATTATAATTTGCTTCAGTTTACTTAGTCTACAAACTGGAGAGGACCCAAAACTGTAATTCTTACATATTATACTATTAAAAGCAATCAAGTATATTAGCATTATGAAAAAACAAAATTTTAAATTTATGATGTTTAAAAAGATGTTTTACTATGATTTCAAAATTAAGTTTCCATGCAACTAAAGCCATCAAATAAATAATAATAATAATAATAATAAATAATGCATTTGACTGTTAGTAACTTGATTTATTGCTTGGTTCATCTTGTGTTTTGATCGATAGTAAACGAACCAAGAAAGAGCTAGGATTTTCCATTTTGTTAGTAAACTGAGACCATTCATCTTCAGCTTAATATCTAACGAACCAAGCTAAATAAGATTCCAGTTTGTTTGTTTTTTTAGAATCATGTAGGCCCTTGTTGGTTCCACAGTTTGTCCCATTTAACATGCAGAACAAGAATATAACATAGTTAAGGTACTACTAAGCAATGGTAGGTAGATTTAATACTAAACCTTTTTATTTTCTTTTTTTTTTGCTAAACAGGTTACCAGCAAAACATTTGTTGAGGACATTGGATTTAAGGTTACAGTGACGCTTGACGATGCATTTCAAGTCCTGCAAATATGGAGAAATTCTCAAGCTCCTTCGGCCTGGTAGTTGCAGTGAATCTGAATCTTTGTGCTCATCTCTGAAATTATGTACAGTTGTTTCCATGCATCAGCATTATCATGTTCCCTTCTTTTGGATGAGATCAGCTCCATTCTCATTTACCATTGAATGCTACTCAATTTCTGTTGTTTCACTCCTGTTTTTGATAATCTATCTCTCAGTTTTTTTTTTTTCTTATGCAAATGCTTTTCATTGCCCCAATGCATAGAGAAGAATTATTTCTTAGTACATTTTTTTTGTATCTGAAACTAGATTGACACATAATTTACACAAGAAAATTGGCAAAATGGTCCCCTCACTCTTTGCAAGAGGAAATTTTAGTCTCAGAGTCTATAAAAGTGTCAATTTAGTTCCTAAAATTTTTTTGGCGGGGACTAAAATAATCTTCTCTAGAATTTTTTAATGGGGACTAAAGTAATCCTCCCTAGGGACTATTTCAACCCATTTTGAAAGAGTATGTGGACAAATTTGGCACTTTAATAAACTCTAAAACTAAAATGAACTTGTGTTAGTCGGGGGCAATTTTGACGCTTTAATATACGCATTATGTTGAGCATCTAGTTAATAGCATCATAATTTGTTCAAATCTGCCAACTTTTTAGAAGATGATTGTGCTTTTCTATGCAGATGATCCATTTTCTTGTCAACATTACCTTTTGTGCTTTCTTAACATTTCATCATATATTTAAAAAAAATACTAATTCATATCTTTGTTTTTCTGTTCAGCATATCTCAAATGTCTAAATTTTACACCTTTATTTGGGATGAACTTATTAAATCAGAGGGGAAAATTATCGCAGAAGTCAAGAAAAATATCATCATATTCATTCCTTTGGTGCCTAACTCAGATTTTATGTCTGTTGCATCTGGTAACTTTATGCTGCCAAACCAATTATATTGGCAAGATCCAACTGGCTGTATGGATCGAATAAGAGAAGCAAGCAATTCAGATAATTTAAAAAACGAGAATGATTGTTTTCAATGTATTACTCTTGACATTGTATACCCGGAGCTTCATGATTTTTTGGTAGCTGATTGCGGCGTGCTCGAGTGTCCACCATTTTCTCATTATCATGACATAATGCTTCATTTGTCGAAGATATCTTTGCCTTCAGATGTTGCTCTATTAGTAAGTACTAATGTTATAATGCCAGTCATGTTTTATTCTTTTGTTATTTAGTCGGAATTAGAGCTGATCATAGCTTGAGCTTGAGCTTGAATTTGATTATTTAATTGGTGCTCAAGCTTGAGCTTAATTCTGCTAGTATAGATCGGCCCCCCACGTGCTGGCTCATATATCTTGAAGGGAGAAAATGATTTTCATTCAAGCAACCGCTGTAATAAAATGACAAAAAGAATGAGCAATTCAAGGTGAAATAATAAGAAATTACTTGTTATGAGAAACTACAATATAGTTTTTAAACATATTTGATAATTTATACTAAAGTTCCTGAATTTTAATATTCAACTATTTTTTATTAATAAAATTTAAATTGGCTCTCACGAGCTAATGAGTTGAGTCAGGGCTGGCTCATAAGTCAGTTTGGCTTATTCAGACCCTGGAGCTACTATTTTGCAGTCTTATATTGTTGTGATGAAACGGGGATGTTGGTCTTACGGCGCATCCTTTTTGTTTTCAGGTTTTCAAAGTATTCTTGAAATTTAGTGATGATTGGAACTCTGGACTAGTCAGAAACGAAGATATACTTCAGTTGAAAGATGACCTGCTCAAATCAGAATTCACAGTGCTACCAACAGTGCAAGACAAATGGGTTTCTCTTCATCCACGTTTTGGCCTAACATGTTGGTCTGATGATGAGAAACTATTAGATGAATATGTTCATCTCAACAACGTTAATTTTTTATATTTTGGTAAACTTACTGAGGTTGAAAAGGAAATGCTTTGTGTGAAGGTGGCTCCTTTCTTGAAGATGATAGGCCTTCCCTTGCTAGCGGAGGTATATTCTTGTATTATACCTTAGAAATTCGTATTCCTAATTATTTTATTTTTGGCAAATATAGTATTTTGACATGCTCTAACAATCAGGTTATAAATCGTGAAGCTATATTCTATGGCATTTCTGATTCAACAGAAGAGACTTCCTTAGTCAACTGGATCCTCCCTTATGTGCAACGCTATCTCTATAAGTCGCATTCTGACATATACTGTGACCTCAAGGAATCTGGCTTCCATAAACTAACACAGCTAGATGTTGTAGTTGTTGAAAAGTTATTTTACAGGAATATTCTTCAGGGGAACTCCAGCACAAGTCAAAAACGATATGAATGCAAATCTCTTCTGCAGGTATTTATTATGTTTTTTTTTTGTGGAACATATCTACCACATTTGCCTTTTCTTTTATTTTTTTTTTAATTGGAGCATTGTTTTATGATATTTTATCATAAAACAAGTTAGAGATGAATAAAGAAAAAACACAAAGCGGGGCCCTCTCAGGGTGTTTCACTTTTAGACGCGTTGAGCACTGTTATTAGATGTCTGAGCTGAAAGTGATTAAGCCTAGCTAGACCTAGTGGGGTCTATCTGAGGATCAATCATTTTTAGAATCATAGCCAAAACTATGAAGAATGATTTGGTTAGATTTGGAACGGCTTTTCCTGAAGATCAACTCATTTTTCAAATCTTTTTTTAAACTCTGAATAAAATCATGGCCAGGTTTCAAACTCTCGATCCAAAAATTTCACCTTGATCGAAACCTTCAAAGGAAATAACTAGCATGCCGCCATAGAGAAACCCCAAAGGAATATTCAAGGGCTTATCAAGAAAGATATGCTGCAAGAAATCTTCCAAAATGGAGGCGCACTAATTTTGAAAAAAGGCAACCCGAGGAAGTTACAACAATGATAATGAAAATATTATTCACCAAGAAGTATCAAAGCTGAGAGACAATGTCGCGTCAGTTCAACGTTGAGTATATAAGGAGAGAGTGACTTTAGAGTGAAGGTTAATCCATCGGATTTTGATGTTTGTATATATTCAAACGAGTTTATTGAGCACCTCCAAATAATGGACAAGTCTTTGAGTACAAGGCATTCTACTTGACAAAAGGTGAAATTAGTTATTATTAAGTTAAAGAAAAGTGTTTATCTATTGTAGAAGAATTTGAAACGCCCGTGCCAGCGTGAGAAAAAAAATAAAATGAGGAATTGACATAATTTTATTTTAAAGATAAGCTACATGATCAGGTTTGGTGTGACATCGCGACTTTAAATGCGCATAATATTCTATTGGACTGACCATATCAGTATATATCATAGGCGTACACTTAGTGATAGCCACAAAAATACTTTCTTATTTACCGAGAACAAAAAGAGTATTTTACTTTTTACTTTAAAAGGGTTTATAGTGATGAATGCTCAGAAAGAGATTATAGATATAGTGCTTATATTTGTATATGTTATAAGAGAGATGACAATTGGACTTGCCTTAATGTTGCTAGAGGGCAATGAGATGGAGGTATTGGTACTTAAGATAGTATGGCCTTTATTGGAGGAGTTTTAGGATGTTTTGATTGACAGTCTACCACCTGGATTATCTTTTTGTGATTCAACATGCTATAGATTTCATCTCAAAATCACTGCTCTCCAATCGACAGCCTAGTAGATTTGACCAACAAAATATGAGAAACTATAGTAGCAGGTCAAGGATTTGATGGTCAGAGGGCGTGTTGTGTCACCTTAATTGTGCCCATGGATGATGGATCATGACAAGTGCATTGATAGTAGGGCAGTGAAGAAGATCATCATTAAGAATTGGTTCCCCATCTGGAGATTGGATCACTTGTCATATCAATTCCATGGAGCCCGCATTTTTTCAAAGATAGATTTGCACAGTGGATACCACCAAATTCAAATGAGGCCTGAGGATAAGTGGAAGATCGCTTTCAAGATGTGAGAAAATTGTATGAGTGGACAGTCTTACCTTTTGGCATACTCAACGCACTTAGCACTTTATGAGGCTAATGAATCAAATTTTTTTAGAATTTATTGAAAATTTTTGGTTATATATTTTGACGATATTCTTACAAACAACCTTTTAGAGGATGAGCAAAACAACACTTACAACTAGTTTTTGGGCTCTTTTAAAAGAGCAATTATATGGTCATTTTAAGAATTGTTATTTTCTTACCCCACAAACATGCTTCCTTAGGTATATTATTTCATTGATTGCACCCTATTATGATGGATGCTATTTTTAATTGGCCTTGGCCACAATCATTCACTTAAGTAAGCAATTGTATGAATTGACTTCTTTTACCCTAGATTTATAAGAAATTTCAATTTTATAGTGGCGCCCTTTCTCAGATCAGATAAGTTCACTTGGTCAGATGAAGCAAAGTCTAGTTTTGATACTCTGAAACAGCAGGTTATTGAAGCTCCTGTCCTAGCTAAAATAAGATTTTGTAGACAAAGAAACGTGCATGCTCATATATAATTGTACATGTCTACACATAAGTTACAACGTACTAGAATCGTATAGAATATATAAAAGAAAAGGCATGTAGTCCAGGGAATTATGACTATTGTATAAAACATGTATTTCATCCATTCATGTATAGTCATAAGCATGTTCATAATAATCATCAATTTTATCATAGCAATGTCATGTGTAATTGTATAAGTTTTAACTATATTCATGTCATGTCATATCATTGGGTCGTCATCCAGTCCGAATGCTACATTAATTATTGATAAAAGTTGGTCCCCCTAACATAGCAATTATCAATAATCCTTTTGACACCAACGGTTTCCAACGTTCCGTAACCGTCTGATCCCAACTGTTCTCGAAGTTTTATCATTGTCTGAATACCAGGAGTTGGGAATCTCATTGTCTCTATCATTCGTGCTTGTAATTATTTATGTGATAACTTACCTATAACATCACATGTGGCATTTCATAACATAATTCTTGTAATGAGAATTCATCATAGATATTTCTTATATCAAATGCATGAATTTTAACAAATGAATATCTAGAGGCAATGATTTCATAAATATATTCATCATATTCATAGCATGGTAAAGTCACATGTATTGTAATGAGCAATCAATTTATATTCATTTAGTCAATGCGGATAATTCAAATGTAGAAAATTCTAAATACGGCAGTATCAAATATGGAATCACATGAAAACCTATAGAATTATTTTTCTTAAGTTAGCACATGATTATTTCATCTGAATTAACTGAACAGCTCTACAACTAGTTTTCTCGGCTCACTGCGATCTCGCCTCCTAGTGTAGACAACCTGAGATTCATAAATATCTTAGTATTTTATGAAATCTTGGCTTATATTTTGATTTAACCTAAAACATAACTCATTTACAAATTCTTATCCCAAGCAGGCTTCTCTGCATAATCAACCATTCTCCGATACTATTTATTATTCTTCTCTCTTCTTTTTATTCCCTTAATCCTCCCTTTTCTTCGTTTATTTTGTGCTAATAGCCCTTAAGGAAGCCCACAAACTGATGTTGTCGCTTTCGACGCAAGTTCATCTCCTACTACTAGATGAAATGTGCACCGATTCGTGGCATACGTCAAAATGAAAACGTAAGGAAGAAAAAGAATATCTGGAATAGCATGAAAGATGGTTTCCTACTTATTGATTTTATCCGGGAGCTTTAAATTATCGTCTGTGACATTATGCAAGTCATACGTCCCACTTTGTTTGCGACCTGTGCTGCAGTTAGGGATCCTTTAGCCGAGCAAAAGGAAAATGGGAGTGGGAAAAATGCAATGGAAATGTAGCATTTATTGTGATCTCCATCGTTTGAACCATCTCATAGCTAAGAATCGCTTGAAATGGGCTTCAGTGAATGAGATTAAGGAGAATACTTTGGATTAATTAAAGTTACTTGAACTTACAACTTCCTAATTTTATCTCTCATTTTTTCAAATTTTATATGTTACATTAAATGCAAGTCACACGTCCCGCTTTGAATCACGTGAAATTGATCGATTTGACGTGTGGAATTTTATGAACTTGATTCGGTTAAAGTTTGAAGGATGTTAAATTTGGGGTATATTTTACAAATGCCAAAAACTTTACCTGGTTCTGAAATTTTGGGAATGCAGAACTAGAGTTATAAATGAGTTGAGTCATGCTTCAGTCATCTAGGACTTGGGCTTTAGCTAATTAATTAATCAAAATCCAGCTCAAGCTTGAGTTTAAGGGTCTGTTTGGGGCAGCTGTTGATTATTTATAAACTGTTGATGAGCAGATTATTCTGATAATCGGATAATCTGCAGATTATCAGAATAAGCTGGTTTACTGTTTGTGACAGCTTATTTAAAATAGATTATTGGTACTTATGCTTTATAAATGACATTCCTGCCCCTGTCTGGTAAAACTGTTTGGGGCTGCTTATTCAAAATAACTTATTGGTAGTACAGAAGCATATAGTGCAGAAACATAAAATCATCACAGATCAGTTTGAAAAGATGACAAACAGTTCTCACACTTTCGTGAGTATTAGAAAAAATAAAAAAAGACAGACAAGTACGAGTACAAGAACATTGTCGAAATTGCCTATAACATTACATTGAAGAAGGGGGTTTAGGGGGATAATTGTTTAAATTAAAAATATTTTTAATAAACAAAAAGGTAATAACAGTTTTACCTCTAATTTCTCGGCCCACCATTCATCTGGAGCATCAATTGTCCGTTTGATGGGATCCCAGCCCAAGCCCGTGGATCCACGTTTCAGCTCCTTCCAAATTTTTTACTCCTTCAATTGATCCCATTTATTTTTAAACTTCAGTCTGTCATAATCTCTTCCAGTCAGTTCTTTAAACATTTTAGTTATATTTTGTCAACCTTCCTTGTTGAAATAGGTGGTTGGCCTATTCTCGATTTCAATCTTGGCGATACAGAGATTGCAGAAAATATTTATAACTTTTTTATCCCACATCGCTGACGGATCACCTTCATTTGTCTTAGTCATGGTGAAATTATATGAAGAATTAAATATGCATAAAGAAATTCATACTGTAAATCTACAGCACAAGCAAAATTTTTAGACTGAACCAACAAGAGATGAAAGGCATAGACATCTTTCATAAAAAAAAAACCTACATCCACAAAGAGATGAAAGATGTCTATGCCTTCATAAAAGAAAAATGAACCAACAAAATGAAAGAGACCTACATCCACCAAATGAACCAACAAAATGATCCTACATCCACAAAATGAACCTAAATCCATAAGAGATGAAATGCATAAACATCTGTCATAAAAATAAAACTTCATAAAAAGATAAATTTCTAAAATGAACAAACAACAGTGTCCAAATTTGCTCATAAAAAAATAAAAAAATATTTACACAAAGGAATTATGTGGTTCGGTCAAAGACCTACATCCACAGTAAGGCATCAAACATGTTTTATTATGCAATTGTGTAAGGTTACATAGCTATGATTCTCAATGGAGAACACTACAACTGAAGTACATGTGTAACAAATAAGCAATAGACATTTTTCATATACTGACTGACTGGTATTGAAAGACATCTAACTGAAATACAGGTGTGACAATAAAGCAATACACATCTTATATTTAATATGCACCTTCTCATACATGTCGTGGAATCCAATTCCAACCGAAGCAACTGTTGAATTAATATATATTTTCATCAGCATAAAAGACCAATGCAAATCGAAGCTCTAAAGACCGATACAACTCGTAGGTCTAAAATATAAGCAAGTGTATTTTCTCTCTACCCTCAGCATCAAAGGAAGCTAGAAAACCCCATAAATATATACCAACCCGATGCTCTCAAACCCAAGCAGAAATAATTCATCAACACAAATGAAAGTGAGATAATTCATGCACTAAAGAACAACATTCAAAGAATTGCGGGTTTTGTACGTAAATGCCCGATGATATATTTTTTAACTAAAGAGCAGAGTATCAAAAGTGTATAGCATTCCATAAATAGCTTGTATTTCATCTCAACACCAAAGCCATAGACATAGCTTGCATTTCATCTCCACGGCAAATAAATTCCCAATTATACAACTGAGCAACATTCAAAGAAAAGCCCCATGATATATTCTCTAACTGGAATGTATCTAAATGCATTGCAAATAAATTCCCAAAAAAAGCCCCCATTATTTTCTAACATTAAATAGTATTTGCATTGCAAATGAAGTGGCAAGTATTGTTTCTTCTCCACAAATAACAAGAATTCAAAATATTTTCACGAACACCAATCCCACCAATAGATCCCAAGCATTCCAAAATTCCAATTTTCCAATTCCAACATTTCAAACCATGAAGGTTTAACATAGAAACAGAAAGAAGAAATTTTCCAAATTACCCCATCACCAACCAGCTGAAACCTATATATAAGAGTATACCCGAATTCATACGAATAGAAATACTCACAGAACAATATAACAGGTGCAGTGGAACACAGATCCAATGCATTCAAGGGATTTGCTCATCTGTCATTCTCGCAATATTACCAAAAAAAAAAATCGAAAGTGCACTGGGAACACAGATCCAATGCATTCAATGCATTCTCAAATAATTCAGCAAAGACATCCTCAAGAAAACCCTAAACCATTAATCGAATCTTGCAAAAAAAAAATAGAAAGACAATCGAATCGATGTTCGCAAGGAGAAGATCGAGCCATAAAAACAACCAGAAAACAACCAACCAGAAAACATAGCAGCACATAGATCTCACCAGAGGAACGAGTGAAAATCGATGTTTGCGAGGGAGAAGATCGGGGAGGGCGAGGGAGATCACCCAATGGCACGGGAGGAATTCGAGCCCTAAACGTCAGTTGCGAACGTCGAACGCAGGGGCAGCCCCCCGATCAACTCTTAGCATAAAAAAAATAACGCGTGTCGCGACGTTTATGAAACGTCTGCTGAACGCTTTATCCAAACAGCATGGCGGCGTTCTCAAATCGCCGCGCCGCCGCACCAAAATAAGCTGCCCCAAACGAGCTCTAAGTCTATGAGTTCGAACCGACTTGTTTATTATAAAATAGATAAAATAAGATTTGTTTAAGCTAACTTTAAAATAAAATAGCATAGAAAATAAACAGTTAGAAGATAAATAATAAGAAATACTATGCAACCACTTGATATAAAATGTAAAATATTTTCTTAAAATATTTTCAATAATTTAATTATAAAATGCTAAATTTTAGTATATTTGGATTATATTCTATATTAATTTTTTTTTTAAATGAGTGGACAACAAACTAATTAGTCAAATTGGGGTTGGCTTGAACATGGCTTGTTAGCTTATTGACTCAACTTATGAGGCATTTATCGAGTTGAACCTGAGCTGGCTCACATGTTTGCTTGGCTCAGTTACACCCCTCCTTGGAACCCTTTCCAGGGTGTAGGGGATCATATAAACAAACTGTTTTCTTCAGTTTTATTCACATATGATGTCAATGCACGCTTTCATCTCTCATGCACAAATTGAACTGTTTATCATTTTAATTGAGGAATCATCATTGCAGGTCAATAGACTGTACACAACGCCAAATGCGGATACTCATTCCATGTTCTTGGAGCTCTCTCGTTTCTTCTTCAATGGAACTCCTAATTTACACATGGCCAACTTTCTTCACATCATTACGAAGGAGCTAAACTCCACTGAGGAGCAAATTGAATCCTTCATCCTTAACAATCTAAACGTGCCGAAGCTTCCCGAGGGAGAACCCATCTGGTCACTCGTGGAATCGCCCAACCTTAGTTCAGAGGAGATGCCGTCAACGCTCCATGCTTTTCCTGTAGTGAAGCTTCGACGCTTGAAGCCAAACAGAACATCTGCCAAATTGAACTGGCCACCTGCTGCCAATACGAATACTACATCCTCCTCAGACTCTATATCCGAACCACACATCTCGAGGATTCCGAAGGCAAAACCAGGCATAACGATATCTGCAGAAGAGAGTCATATTCGCTCTGGAGGCGAAGCAACCGGTGATTTTAGAGACGACCTGCTCGAAATGCCACCGGCTTCCACCATTGCTGATCTCTCTTCTAGTTCTGCCACAAAGGAGGCAGAAATCTTACTCACATCAGCTACTGAGTTGCATGATCAAACAAACTTATTTGAATTCACTGAAACTGATAAGCTCTTCCTGGAACCTCCTGAAGAGAACCAATCTTATAAAACTGGTAGGCTGGGAGAACTGGTAGCTTATCAATACTTCAGCGAGAAGCTTGGTGAGAAATTTGTGAAGTGGGTCAATGAGGAATCAGAGATGGGACTTCCTTATGATTTAATTATTGACGAGGAACAGAAGACGCGATTTGTCGAGGTTAAGGCCACCACTTCTGCAACCAAGGATTGGTTCGCTATATCGACAAAGGAGTGGCGTTGTGCGTCGGAGAAGGGCGAATCATACAGCATTGCTTGGGTCATTTTGTCAGGCCAAGATGAAGCTCAGGTTCATGTTTTGAATAACCCATTTAAGCTTTGCCAGCAAAAACTACTGCAGCTGGTTCTACTATTGCCAACAGATTTATGAGAGCCTTATCATTTCCTCTATTTTTTTTTTAAATTCTAAATGTTATGTCATATAATAGGTCTGGAATTCATGTTTTTTTTTTTTCTTTTTTCCTTTTTGTGCTCACATAGATAAATATATCCCTCTGTTAATAGAGAAATTTTTGGTGGTCTTCACTGTAGTAGTAGTTTGAACTGATGTGTTGTAATTAGGAATTACTACATAGGATTGGAATGAACTGAAATTTTATGAGGCGTTTGGATGGTGCTGCAAACTTTGTTAAATACGTTTGCAGAGAGTGTTGCAGATGGTGTGGTTTTGCGTGGGAGTATATGATTCTTGATTCAAAATGTACATGTAATTTAAGAGGATCTGTGCCATGAAAAAAAATTGGATCAACGAGTCTCAAGTCTTGATTATATTTTAAGATTATTATATGTTGGAAAATTTACATACATGCCACATAATTTTTATGTATTTACATGCCTAACACAAACTTCAATTTATATATGGATATATATATATATATATATGTCACTAAAAACATATTTTCACTTTTTAGTGATTTAAATAGTGATACTTGCATCTTCTTTTAATCTTCTTTGGTTGTGATTAGGGCTATTAAAATAGTTCATTGTTTGCGAACACTTCATGTTCGGCTCGCTGAGCAAATGAGTTGTACAAGAACAGTAGTATTTTTTTAACGAGCAAAACATGAACCTAGCCTTGGCTTGCTTAAGCTCGGCTTTGTTTACACCTTTAATGGCAACCATCGCAAGCAGGCAGCGGCGGAAAGTGAATATTTTAAAAAATGATAAAAAAATATTTTTTAAGTAAAAATAAATTAATTTATTTCAAATATATAAAAATAGACTAACAATTTTTGTTTATAAAAATAAAAAAGAAAAATAAAAAAGAATTTCTCAAGTAGAAGGCGCATTGGGTGATTTACTTCTTCTGGTGTGTTCTTAGCGTAGACAAATTATAGCATGTGGAACATAGATAGATTCCATTTTTTAGCCAACATAATAATATACGTCTATGAGAAGGGAATTAAATGATAAGGCTTCTTACTATATTCATGGATTTTTGTGTTCTTTCTTCTTTCTTTCTTTCTTTTTTTTTTTTTTTTTTTTTTTTTTTTTTTTTTTTTTTTTGGAAAGGTGAGTTCAAAGAGCAATATGTTTGATTTGAGCATGTGATCTCACAATGAGAAATTATATCAGTGTAATAAGTTAGGTTATAGAAAATGTTATGAAATATATATTTTAGTACACATTAAGATGATAACTCCAAGTTTGGGGATAATTTTTATAAAATAAATAAAACTAATAACAAAATTGATTTATTTATTGTCTCCTTTTTCTACATACTATGTTTTTATAAATTATCTTAAAATGTGAAGTGTTCACTAATCACAAATGCTTGAAATTATACATGGATTCGGATGTGAGAAGTGTTCACTAATTATTTTAAGTAAAAACGGAGTTGAAACACGTAAAAATTATTTTTTCGTGTTTGGCTCGTTAATACATGAATTAAGTCTTTATTTGTATGGAGTTGGATGTGAAGTGTTCACTAATCACAAATGCTTGAAATTATTTTCACACAAAAGGAGTTGAATTTAAGGCAAAGATGATATCGTAGGCTGATTAAAGACTATGATTTAAATATATATTATCATTCAAGGGAAATAAATATAGTTGCATATGCATTAAGCAGAAAGGCAATTGACATTAAAAATTGGATGATTTCATACTATGAAGAGCTAATTAAAGATATATAATGTTTGTAGTTATCAATAATGACACCAAATGATGAAATTTTTGCATTATTGAATCAAATGCTAATTCAATTAATTGTGAAGGATAGATTACAAGATGCATTATATCAAAATATAGAGTTTATAGAAATTTTTTATAGGGTAAAAATAGGTCAGGTAGAGAAATATGTCACTATGAAGAAAAATTACTGAGGTATGAAAATAGAATTTGCATTCATGTTGTTGATGATTTATAGAAGAAAATTTTGCATGAAACACAATATTTAGGATATATAATACATTCAGAAGACGATAAAATGTATCATTAGCTTAGGAATTATTCTAGTGGTCACGTTTGAAGCAATGTGGTAAATTTTGTGTCAAAATGTCCTAATTATCAAGTTATTAAGACAAAACATTAGAAGCTTTGTGTGTTATTACAACTATTCTCTATCCTAGAATGAAAGTGGGAAGTCATTGCTACGGATTTTGTGATTGAGTTACCATGATCCAAGTTAGGTTGTGATGTTATATATGTGATTATTGATTTTCTGACTAAATCTGCATATTTTTTTTATTAAACAGATGAATTCTATGATTAAGTTGGCCAAAATTTATGTGAATAAAATTGTGTTACAAGATGGAATCCCAAGGTCAATTATTTTGGATCGAGACATAGATTCATATTAAAACTGTGGAGAAAAATTGAAGAGACTTTGGGTGCATAACTAACTTCTAGCGAATCATTTCATTCCCAAACAAATGGTTAGTTAGGGAGAGTATCCAAATATTAAAAGATCTGCTTGGGCTCAGTATGCTTGATTTTGGTGGAAATTGAAAAATGCACATACCTTTAATAGAATTTGCCTACAATAATAGTTAGAACGATAATGGCATGACTGCTTATAAAGCCCTACATAAAATAAAATGCACAACTCTTTATTGGGAAGAAACTGGTGAGAGGACCTTATAAAGCCCTACATAAAAAAAAAAAAAAGCACAACTCTTTATTGGGAAGAAACTGGTGAGAGGAAGGTAATTAATGTTGAGTTAGTTGATGAAAATGCTGAGAATATATGTTCAATTAATGTTAGACAAAGAGCTATTTAATATAGATACAGAAGATATTACGATGCTTAACACAGATCAATGAAATTTGGGTTTGGAGAAGTTATTTTTCTGAAGGTTGATCTTGTGAACAGTGTTAAATGATTTTAAAAATGTGAAAAGTTGAGCCCCCAATACGTTAGTCCACATGAGATTTTAGAAAAAAATGGAAAAGCAACTTATACTTGATTTACTAGCACATATATATAGAGTATATAATGTGTTTCATATATCCTTATTTTGAAATAAACAAATTAATAAAAATGATTACCTTATAATTAATTAATTTAATATATAAAATAAGAAAAAAAATTATTTTGTGATTAATGAAATTCATACATTTTTTTTTCATGAAATATTCTTAATAATATATTATTTTTAGTAAAAAAATATATATTTTTATCTAAATATAAAAAAATAAAATTTATTAAAGATTATGAATATTAATATTGATATGTTACTTTGTGATTAATATTTTCTAAATAAATTAATAAATAATAATAATATTATTATTATTATTATTATTTGAGATGCCAGATTATGTCATATTATACTTTGTAACAAACTTATTGAGATGCGAGATTATGTCATATTATACTTTGTAACAAACTTATTAAAGAATCAATTATGTTATTAATAAATAATTTAAATTATTTTTAAATAAATTTATGATTTATTATTTCATCCGATTGAACCCTGATTCAACCTTTAAATCTTGAACATCTTCAATTACTGGTTCAATATACTTCAATTGTTGTGTTGTAATTACTCTAAAAGACACTCAGATTAAGTAAATGAGTTTTTAATAAACTTAATATAAAGTCTTTGACAAGTGTTTGTTCAATAATAAATATGTTGTTTGTAAACTTAAGTAAATAAAAAAGAATTTAATTAAATTTATTCAATTAATCGAATCGAATTCGAGTATTTCACGAAATCCGCTGATAAGCCTTACTAACCCCCGCGCTCGATCGAGCTCTGCTCGTTCAGAACCGTAGCATCAACGCATTTAAACCCTAACTGAACTCAACGCTCCTTGTTTATTTTTCTCAGCCATGGTCGCCTCTATCACTTCACTCTCCAAACCCAGTATTTTCTTCTGCAATGACTCCTTTCCCTATCGTGCCTCAACTCTTCGAAGCCAATTCAGCAGTAAGCCAGCAGAAATATTGATGGGATACCTCAAACTCCCTTGTTGGGGCTCTTTTGCGGCTCGAAGAAGGGCGAATCTGCCTGTCTATTCTCAGTTTCGTAGACCGCCTCGGCGCCGGAACTCACTGAGGAAGAAACTCATCACCAGGCAAGAACAGGTTCGTCTCTTACCTGAAATTTCAAACCCAAAATCTAATTTTGAAGATTTGGGCGTAAGAGATTGTGAAAGTGATGCGCTTAGATTAGGTATCGATTTTGACAGTGAAAAGGAATCTGAAGGTGCCAAGGATTCTAAAAAGTTTGACTTTTCAGGAAATTCTGCTTTGTGGGATAAGTTAGATAATTGGGTGGGTCGATATAAAGAAGATTCAGAGTTCTGGGGGATCGGGCCTGGCCCTATTTTCACCATCATACACAATTCTGATGGTAACGTCATCCGTGCTTCTGTCAATGAGGAGGAAATTTTGAAAAGGAACAGAATCCGAGCATGGAACTTGGAAGGGAGTGGAGAAGGTGAAGAACTTAAGGATTTGAATTCTAAGATATCCATAGCAAGGCTTATTGCTAAAGAGATAGAAGTTGGTGCGTACCAAATGCCTCGAGATAGTTCAATTGCTAGGTTTGTAGTGGAAGGAAAGCCTTCTTCTTTGGTTGGTCTATTCCATGCCTTCTCTTCTCACCGGCAATCTCTAGTAAGAATCTTCCCCCGCATTTGTTTCATGGTTTTGTGCTGTTTCTGTGTTTTGGGGGCCGTGAGGAAGTTGTTTGTAGGATATGGCGATGTAGAACTAACAAGGGAAGAGGCAGAAATGCTCAGGCGAAAGAAGAAATCAAGGATGGAGAGTGAGAAGTTGCAGAGGGGAAGCGTTGAAGTTCTTCAGAATGGTGATGAGCTGCCGGTCATATATGGTACTACGCCACAGTTGGACAGGAATGAACTAATGAAGAGCATAACGCAGGCCAAGCAGCCTAGAGATCCATTGGTTTTATCAGGTCCTTCAGCTCACTTGACTGCAGAAAAACATGATTTTGATGAGAAGGTGAGGGAAATTAGAGCTATGGTGAAGAATGTTCATGAAGCGGAATATAAAAATCGGTCTTTGAGCAATCATACAGCTGAGCAGGATGAATTATCTTCAATTATAGTTGATGCTGAATTTCAAAAGGGAGGTAACAATGCTGTTGATGTCAAAGATGAGGAAACGATCTTTTTGAAAAGGTCTCAGAAGCAGCCTGTTGTTACTCATTTGACTGATCTTGAAGCTCCTGATACAGGTTTTTTTAGTGGCAAACAGGAAGTTGAAAAGAGTAAGGCAGATAGTAACAGTGTGAGAGGGGAACAAACCATTAAAAGGAAATCTACTAATTTCACTAAGAAAAAAGGCAAAGCAAAAATCATAACATCACTAACGGAAGCTAAAGAATACCTTAGTACTAAACACAGTATTCATAAAGGCTCAGAACAACCTGAGCAGCCAATTCATCATAAAGGTTTAGCACTACCAAAGCAGTCAAATAATTCGAAAGGGATATCAGAAGTTATCGGCCGTTGTGCTGAGAGATCTGATGGTAATTTTAAAAGAATCAGGGAGACTAATGGGACTGAAAGTAATATAAAAAAGAATGCTGGATTTCAAAATGGATGGTCAAATGGAAGCACCCAAAAAGATTTGACTTTTGATGGCGCTGCTGATTTGAACGGCTCTCTTCTGATGGGACACAATGCAGGTATTATTGGCCCGTCAAATGATTTCATCGCTTCAAAGAATCAAAATACGACTTTTGAGCACATTCAAAATAAGAATTTGGAGTCGAGTTTGGAGAAAGCTAGAGGTAATAATGATGTTTCTCACTCTGAATATTCTGTCAGAACTTGTGTCTCAGAACATGTTGATCCAGTTATAGTTAATGTCCCATTTGATGCCTTGAAGGATGAAGAAGCCTTAAATGATATTTCTTCTGAAATAATTATTCCTGCAAGTTCTGCTAATTCTGACTGCCAGAATGAAAATTTAGCTAAAACTTCTGGAAAGAGCTGGACAGAGGAAAACTTTCAGCAGTTTGATTCTGTTATTAAGAAGATTGGGCATGGCTTCAAAGATAACTACTTGTTGGCAAAGGTGAAGGAACAAGAGAACTCATTTTCAAGTGTTGATATTAGTAAACTCAGTTTGTGGAATCAAGATGAAGAACTTGAATGGATGAAAGATGAGAATCTTCGCGAAATTGTTTTCCAAGTGCAGGAAAATGAATTGGCAGGACGGGATCCATTTCACTTGATGGATGCAGATGATCAAAAAGCTTTTTTTCGGGGACTAGAACTTAAAGCTGAGAGGGCCAATGAAAAATTGGCGGGGGTGCATGAGTGGATACACTCAAGGATTGAGAATCTCGACTATGGTGCAGGTAATATTACTGGGAGAGCCTATATACTATCCGACTCGCAGAAACATTGAATCTCTTATTTACTTATTGGGAGATTTTCATACATATTGCTCAATTCCCATGTATTTACCTATTGAGTGAAGTGCCAAAATAGTCTCATGACTATTTACATTTGGCCATTTGAGTCCCAGAGCTTATAAAAGTGTTAAATTTTTCCATGGACTGTTTTAATGGGGGCTAAAATAGTCTTCATCGAGGACTATTTCAACCCATATTAAAAGACTCTTATGGCTAAATTGCTATAAACTCTTGGACTAACATGGGCCCTCCAAAGAGTCGGGGGACCATTTTGATATTTTTCTCTTTGCCTATTTAATACCTAAACTTTAATTTTTACAAACACACCAACTTACTCATGCATGCAAAAGGTGCATTTTCCTTTTTAGAAGTTAAAATGGTGATATTTTTCATATCATTTAAAAAATTTTGGTGATATAAATGTAAAAGGTAAAGGATAAGTTTTAGATATGTAAATACATAGAATTGGCTGGTATGTATGTAAATGCCCCTTATTTATTTATGTCATTACCTATTTTTCAAAATAACATTTTTTTGTATATTTTTCATTTTTTTCTGAATAATATGTTTTGAACAAATTTCTGAGCTTGATACTGATAGTTGCTGAAGTTGATATCGTCCTTATTGTTTATTCATGTAACATAGATGGCATCAGCTTAGACGATCCAGTGGAAAAAATTATCCCTCGTTGGAAAGGCCCACCTATTGATCAAGATCCTGAATTTCTTAAGAAATTTGCCAATATAGGAAATTTGAATGATATTCTTATGAAAAAGCAAGAGAACCTTCAGAAATCACAAAACTCAGTGAATTCAGTTGGTGTTTCTCCTCACTCTCCAGTAAATGATAGAGTAATTTTGTCTCAGAATGGAGCATCAACTGCACCAAAAACTCTTATAGAATGCAGTGATAGCTCTAACAGGCCCGGGAAGAAGACGGGAAAGGAGCAATGGCAACATACAAAGAAATGGTCCCAAGGTTTCTTAGAAGTTTATAATTCAGAGACAGATCCAGAGGTGAAATCTATCCTCAAGGATATGGGAAAGGATTTGGATAGATGGATTACAGAAAAAGAAGCAAAAGATGCGGCGGATCTATTTACCAAAATACCTAAGAAAAAGAAGAGATTTATAGAAAAGAAGATGAACAAAATTAAAAGAGAGGTGGAGAAGTATGGAGCACAAGCAGTGGTTAGCAAATATAAAGAATATGCAGATGAGAATGTGGAAGATTACCTATGGTGGTTAGATCTTCAGTTCGTTCTGGTAAACTGAGAAGTTTCCCTTATTATTTCCTGCCTTTTTTATTGTTTTATTTTTGTTTCCCAATTAGTGAAAATCACCACAGATTCTTTATGTTTTGATGTTCAGCTTTATTTGGTATTCATCTTGAGATTATTTTTATTATTAGGTGATACATACCACCCAATTCCTATGTATTTACATTTCTCACACCAAAAATTTACTTGTTACATTTATACCACCTCAAGCTTCCATTTCACATAAAAAATACCACCATTTTAACTTAAAACTGTGAAATACACATTTTCATGCATAAGTAAGTTGGTATGCATGTATAAATTGCAGTTTAGATGTTAGGTGATAAATACTATGGAATTGAGTGGTATGTATATAAATCTTCCTTATTATTATTTTTAAATTTTATTTATTTATTTATTTATTTATTTGTGGTAGTGCATCGAGCTATACTCTGTGGAAGATGATGTTTCGAGAGTTGGATTTTATTCATTAGAAATGGCTGAAGATCTTGAGCTTAATCCGAAGCAATTTCATGTGATTGCTTTTGAGGATCCAGGTGATTCTAAGAACTTCTGCCATATTGTGCAAGCTCAGATGGATTTGCTGGGAAATGGTAAAGCTTTTGTTGTTGCTCGCCCTCCAAAGGTCAGTCCTAGCAATGCTATTTATCATCATCTTCCTCCCTAAGAGAATCTATCTCTATTTTACTTTGATTTAAAAAAACCAAATCTTGTTCATTGATTTGTGTGCTTCTTGAAGACTTAGATAATTTGAAGGGGCGTTGACATGCATACCAACCAATTCTTATGAATTTACATATCTAACACCTAAACTTTACATTTTACAATAACACTATTCAAATCTTTCATATTTTGTCAAAAATGTCGCTATTTTAACTTTAAAAAGTGAAATACATCTTTTCATGCATAGTTAAGGTGACATATATGTAAAAAATTAAAATTTAGATGTTAGATATGTAAATACATAAGTTTTGAGTGTTATGTATGTAAACTTTCCTAATTTGAAACTTTCTCTAAAGCATTTTACTGCTGCATATTTCCCACAAGTATTTTCTTCATATTTCCCACTAGCATTTACATGCATACCAAACTATTCCTATTTATTTGCATATCTAAAGCCTATACCTTACTTTTGTTGTATTTATGGCTTAATTGTGATTAGGGATAATTTAGTCTTTTAGTTTTATGTTCTTGTATGCCCTAGCCCTCCTCTATTAAAGGAACTTAAGGGCTAATGAGAGTAGAAAGGTGAGGAAGTGTTTAGTTGTAACCCAAGTCATTTTTCTTTCTCCTCATCTGTCTAGTGGAATGTCTCTCCTTGTGACGTAGGCGAACCGATTCAATGTCGAACCACATAAATCTTTTATCTTTGATTGTTGTGTGTGAATTTTCTATGCTTCGACATTATTTTGGCATAATAATTGATATCAAATTTAAGTTGATGATGGAGGCTTTTGCAGGAAAATTGCGGAGTGCTGGAGAACAAATATCTCAGATAAGTGTGGGGAACCGTCTCTATATGAAGCATCGACTCTACAGATTTCAGATGAGACGAGGGTTACTATTAATGAGCACTTAAATGATTTTACAAAATTGTTGACAGATCTATTAAATTTGGATGAATATGTTAGATATGAAGACAAGACTCTTCTTCTGTAATTTCACCATTCATTCATGTGAAGGAGGTTGTAAATTATGGCGAAGTGACTACGACACTGTTGAACCACGAGTTTCATCGAAAGGACAAAGAGTCCACGAAGATGAAATCAACTGAGACACCTACACTCCAACATGACTGATCTGAGAAGAAGTGGAACTTCACAAAGAAAGGTGATAGTAGTTACACTTCTGAAAAGCGGGGCAAGTCTCATGGGCACCGTCTTGGGAAAAATTTGTGTGCTTACTATTGATAGACTGGTCATTAGAGAAAGATTGTCTGAAACTGAAGGAGAAGTGAAAAGAAGTTGCTTCTGGATCGAAAGTCAATTTCATTATGAAAAGATGTGAAGAGACAAATTTAGATATATCGTTATCTGCAGTTTCTCAGAGTTTGTTACAGATAATTCATGTGGGATTGTGGACATAGGTGTTACCTATCGCATTTGTCCCCATTGAGGGTAGTTTTGTACATACAAGTGGTTGAATAGCTGTGTTGTGACCATGGGCAACGATCAAGTCAGTCATACTATTGGTGTAGGGTGTATCTTTATCAAGATGCTACCTATCACATTTCCCCATCGAGATACAAGTGGTTGAATAGCTGTGTTGTGACTATGGGCAATGATCAAGTCAGTCATACTATTGGTGTAGAGTGTATCTTTATCAAGATGCTACCTATCACATTTCCCCATCGAGGGTAGGTCTGTACGTACAATGAGCTGGATAGTTGTGCAATGATTATGAGCAACGATCAAGCTTATCTTACGATTGGTGATTGGAATATATTTACAGATGATTCATGTTGGATTCTAGAAACAGGTGTTACCTATCACATTTATTCTCAGTGATGGTGGTTTTGCTTATAAAGAGTTGGATAGATGTTCAGTGACTATAGATAACGATCAAGCTTGTCGTATTATTAGTGTAGGGAGTATATTTTTCAGGATGCATGATGGTACTGTGAGGGAACTGACTGATGTTAAACATGTTCTAACTATCTGGAAGAATTTGCTGTCAGTGAGGGCTTCAGAGTCCAAGGGTAAAGTAATTTTTGAGATAGGATTTCAGAGGATATGTCGTGGAGCAATGGTTTTTTATGAAAGGAGTTCGTCATCATAATTTTTATTATCTTTGGAAAAGAAAGTGACTAGAATGGTTGTTGTTACTGATAATTCTTTTGACGCCACTATATTGTGGCATATGCGACTAGCCCATGTTGGAGAGGCTTCACTTCAAATTTTGGTAAAGAAAAAATTGATCAAAGGAGCGAGCAACTGCAAGCTAGATTTTTGTGAACATTGTGTGTTTGACACAAATATCTTTTAAGACTGTCATCCATAGTAAAAATGTATTTAAGAGCATGTTCACACAGATGTTTAGGCCCTGACGAAGAAAATATCATTCAACAAACAAAGATACTTTGTCTCTTTTATTGATAATTAATTCAGGTATGTTTGGGCGTACACCATGAAACACAAAAGTGAAGTGTTGGAGGTTTTCATAACTTGGAAAAAGTGAATTGAGACTCAGACTGGTAAAAATTTTCGGTGTATCATATTAGAAACTTTGGATGCGTTCTTGCAAGAGTGTCATAGAGCTGGGCTAAAGCACCACTTCACTGTTAGAGAGTCACCATAGCAGAACGAGGTGGCAAAGATGATGAATCAGACTATTGTGGAAAAATTTCGGTGTATGTTATCCAATGCCGGATTGGGTAGAATATATTGGGTTGATGCCATCGAATATACATGTCTATTTGGTGAACCGTCTGCCTTCTGCATCGATTGAGCAGAAGATCCCAAAGGAGATGTGATCAGGACATTCTGCTAGAGATTATAAGCACGTGAGAGTATTTGAGTGTCCAACTTACTATCACGTGCAAAATAATAAATTAGAACCCAAGCAAATAAGGTGATCTTCATTGGCTTTAGGCGTGGAGTTATGGACGTTAAGCTATATGATTCGTCATAAAGAAAAATTGTTATTAGAAGGGATGTTATATTCGACGAGGCAAGCTTGTTAAAAATCGAGACTCAAAGCAAGTGGAGAGTTCTTCTAGGACTACAAATTTGCAACAGAAGTTGGAGTTTGATGCAACTGCATTTGTTCCATAGAGTTCGTCCACTCTGACTCAAATATCTGATTCAGTTGCAACTCAGTAGGTATTTGTTGATAATACATAGGAAGAGGTGGAAGAAAACATTGAGGATGAGATTTCTGCTTGGGAATCGATTATTAGAAGCAGGACTAGGTGCTGAAATATCCTAAAATCAGCTTGGTTGAAAGATCACATTGCATTTGCATCTTCGGCCACAAAGACAATAATTTCTTGTCACTGCAAAGAAGCAGCGGAGAACTCAAACTGTGATCTTTGGAGAGTGGCAATTGATGAAGTGATGGAGTCTCTTCGGAAGAATATTACTTAGAGGTTGGTGAAGCTTCCTTCAAAAATGAAAGTCGTTAGGTGCAAATAGGTGTATGCAAAGTTGGAAAGGTCTCTTTTAGTTGATGTGTGGTACAAGACAAGATTAGTGGCAAAAGGCTTTGCGCAACGGGAAGAGATTGATTATGACGAAGTTTTCTCCTCAGTGGTCAAGCATCCCTTAATCCACGTTTTCTTAGCACTTGTATCACAATACAGTATGATCTTGAAAGAACTCGATGTGAAGACTGCATTCATACACGGAGAATTGCAAGAAGATACCTACATGTTGCAGTTGCCTAGATAGGAGCATAAAAAGATTTGATTTGTAAACTGGACAAGTCTTTATATGGATTGAAGCAATCTCCACGGTAATAGTATAAAAAATTTTGATTAGTTCATGAGGAAACAAGAGTACACAAGATGCCAGTATGATCATAGTACATATTTTAAGAAGTTGGTCAATAGTGAATTTATTTATTTGTTTTTATATGTTGATGATATGTTGATTGCTTCTATTAGTAAGATTGAGGTTGATAGGATCAAGAACAACTGTCCAAATATTTCTAAATGATAGAGTTGGATGAAGCTCACAGAATTCTTGGCATGGAGTTTCTCATGGACAGGTCAGCAGGAAGAAGCTTATGTTTGAAAGATGTTGAAAAAATTTAAGGTTGATGACTCGAGCAAGGCAATGAGTCTACCCATTGCATCTCACTTTCAATTGAGCTCAGATCAATGTCCTAAAGATGGTCAGGAGAGGAAATATATGTGATTGGTTTATTCTACTAGTGTAGTTAGCAATTTGATGTATGTCATATTTTATACTAGACCAGACATTGCACAAGTAGTTGATGTTGTGAGTAGGTTTATATATGATTCAGGAAGGAGCCATTGGCAGACTGTGAAGAGTATTTTGAGGTATCTGAAGGATACAGTTGATTTTGGCTTGGTGTTTGAGAGGCAGTCATCTATTGCAAATTTATGTGTAGGCTACATTGACTTAGACTACGCAGGTGGTATGGATAAGTGAAGATCTGCGACGGATTATTTATTCACATTAGCAGAAGGTTCAGTCAGTTGGAAGTCGTTTCTTCAGTCTACTGTTGCTTTGTATACTAGGGATGTTGAGTATATAACAGTCAGAGTGCGAACCGCGTAACTTTTTCGTGTTTGATTGTTGTGTGAATTTCTATATTTCTGCATTATATTCGCATAACAACTTTTTTATATTTAAACCATCGAAATCATTCATATCACATCAAAAATACTATTCTTTTAACTTTTAAAACAGAATACACCTTTTCATAGGTCTATATAAAAATTGAAATTTAGGTGTTAGGCATGCAAATACACAAGTATTAAATGGTATGTATGCAAATCTTCCTTTTTTTCAAATGAAGGAGGGATAAAAATACCATGCATGTTCCATGATATTAGAGTAATCAATCTAGATGTATGGAAAATAATTGTTTTTTGGGAATATACTTGTAAACAATTTTGCCTAACCCTGAAACTCCTATTGATCGCTTGCTCAAGTCCTAGTATTGCCGGAATATTTGTTTTAAATTCCGTTTTACTGTCTTACATTCTGCAGGACGCTTTTAGGGAAGCTAAAGCCAATGGATTTAGCGTTACCTTGATTAAGAAAGGGGAAGTAAAATTAAATGTGGATCAAACTTTGGAGGAAGTGGAGGAAGAACTAAAGGAGGTTGGAAGCAAAATTTACCATGATAAGATCATGAATGAACGGGGAGTTGATATTCGCTCACTTGTGAAGGGTGTGATTGCTGCTGATAAGTCCAGAAAGAGGTAACTTTTGTTATTTGGATTTTACTTCTTGTTTTGATCAATATGTCAAATGCCGCATTTTTGGTAGGAGACTCTGTGCTTTGAGTTTTATGCTTTTTTCAAGCGAAGCAGATTATTTTTGAAAGGAAACTGGTTTGCAAAATCAAGTTATTGTGGTTTTTCCTCCTAAAAATGATTTTTTTGCGCTCAAATACATGGCTCATTAGTTGAAAATAAATTGAAGAATCCAAAAACGCCCGATTCGAGGGCGCATCTTGGTCCAAAAAAGCTGGATTCGAGTGCTCATCCCCCTAAAAATGATTTTTGTTTTGTTTTTTCCTCCTAAAAATGAATTTTTGTGCTCGAATACATAACACATTGTTTGAAAACAAATCGAAGCATCCAAAAACACCAGATTTGAGTGCTCATCATGGCGCCCCGACACACGCTAAACTTTCAATCTTCACGAACAGACCACCGAATTTGTATGTTTTTGGCATAGGTTGGATAGTCTGTACCTAAAAAATAGAAGTTTAGCTGGTTTATATGTTAATACATATGAATCGAATGGTTGGAATGTAAATCTCTTTTCTTTTTAATGCTACAGCTGATATTTGATTCTGTTTTTTCAGGTCATAATGGACTCACAGGATGTTAAATCCTCATAGTTTTGGCAACTATAGTTCTGCACCTGTTACTTCAGAGGCATTCAATTATACCTAAATGTAAGGGTTGTATATACTTTCTGAGTTAGATAGATTTTGCCTTCCGATAATTTAATTTACTCTGTTTATAACTAGACTTTGTTGGAGGCATGCCATCTTGACCAAAAATCATTTATATATGATGACCTTTATAGGTTATTTGGATATGCCCTCCTGAATTCAGGATTTATAAGACAAAAAATATTCAAATTTATTACGTTTAATAAATTATAGGATATAGAAAATATTGTCTTCAATCAATTTTATATGCCTCGAAATACTCATAATTGGAGAAATATGCTTAAAATGTTTATTTTGAATAGGAAGATTTACATACATGCCACATAATCCTTGTGTATTTACATATCCAACACCTAAACTTTAATTTTTATATATCTGCCACATTGCCTATGCAAAATAAAAAAAAAAAGATTCATTTTTTAGAGGTTAAAATAATGATATTTTTTATGTGATGTTGAAGATTTGGGTGGTATAAATGTAAAATATAAATTTAGGTGTTAGATATGTAAATACATTGGAATTTGAGTGATATGCATGAAAATGCCCCTTTTGAATAAAATATTTTCTCTTTTTTATCATGGAATATTTATCTAATGTTTGTTATGAAAGGCATTATTTGAAGCCATATTAGAATCATATTTGATTGAGGTTTGAAGTTGGAACCTAGCGTTTGAACAAGGTTGAAGATGTTCAAATATTGCTTGAACAGGTTGTGAATATTGTTTGAAAAGGATTGTAGACCAATGTTTGAAGAGGATTTAAATTTGATTTGAATATGACTCAAACAAGTTTTGTCTAGTGAATTAACATATTGGCATTACATGAAAACCCGATACACACTCAAGGTAATTAATGAGAAATAGGTGGAGACGTCTCGATTTTTTATATGAAAAATCGTGAAAAAGAAAAAAAAATAACAGGATCTAGCCTATGAATGATACACTATGAGTGGTAATGATACAAGTTTACTTTTCTCATGAATTGGGGAAGATAGAGTTTTTATTTACACATTAAAAGATGTATTTCATCTTTTTAGAATTTAAAATTCACGCGTGTCGGAAGGTCCCCAGCGGTAGAGTAATTAGTTATCATTTTAGTGTTGCACTAAAACTCAAAACACACTCAGTTAATTAAAAAGAAGTAATTAGACCGAGACACCTCGAATTTTTATATGAAAAACTCTTTAAAAAAATAAATGAAGGGACCTAGCCTAGTTGAAATAATATATTACGAATGATAAATGCACAAGTTCACTCTTCTCCTGAGTTAGGGAAGATATAATATATATATATATATATATATCTTTTCCACTAATATCGAGTATTCATCATTTTCTAAAAGTACCAACGACTGTCTGATAGACACACACTATGTGTTATTTATTTTGCATTAAAAGTTATATTTCATCTTTTTATATTTTAAAATTGATTCGTGTCGACGGGCCTGCGACAGTAATGAATTTTCATCTTAACGTACCCAACATACACTCAGAAAATTAAAGAGAAGTGGACGGAGACACCTTGAGATTTTATATGGATGACCCGGAAAATAGAAAAAATCTTGAAACCAAGCTTAATTGAAATAATTTATTGTGAATGGTGAGTACATAGATCCACTTTTTTTCTGAATTATGGAAGATGGAGTTACGAAGTTGATCATTATAAATATACAACAGTAGTTCATTGATAATAGTTGAAGTCTAGTTATAATTAATGTAGTTTTCAGTGATAGCAAACTACAAGAGTCGTAGTCGATTGCTATGAAAATTGTAGACGTAGCTATAGCTTAGGCTTGTAATTTTGGTCGTAGTTGAAAACCATGATAATAGTTGGTCGTGCAGGTTGCAGATGGTTGTTTCAGAAGCATTTGTTGGCTATAGAGTTCGTAGGAGAAAGTTGCAAGGGTTGTGAGCCACATAAGTCATAGTTGGTCACATCGGTTGTAGTAGTGAGCTGTGATGAAATCTGTAGACTGTAGAGACCGGAGTCGAGGGCTGCATGAGATGTAGATCATGTAGGACATATTAGTTACATAGGCCGTAATGGTGCGTTATGATGACATCTGTATGCCACAGAGACTAGAGTCAGGAGCCGCACGAGTTGTGAACCATATATGTTGTAGTTGGTCCTTAGGTCATAGTGGTGAGATATGATGACATCCTAAGGTCGTAGAGGCAGAAGTCAAGCGTTGCACGAGGCCACGTAGGTCATTGTTGGTCACTTCGGCTATAGTAGTAAGTTGTGATAACACTTGTAGGCTGCAGAGGCTGTAGTTGGGAGACACACGAGCTGTGGACGAAGTATGTCGTAATTTGTCGCAGAGGTCGTAGTGGTGACTTGTGATGACGTCTATTGACCTTAGAGGCCATAGTTGAGAGATGCACGAGCTATGCAGGTTGTAGTTGATCACGTAGGTCATAATAATGAGTTGTGATGATGTTCGTAAGCCACAGAGGTCGGAGTCAAGAGCTGCACGAACTATGAAGTGTCACATAGGTCGTAGTGGATAGTTGATCACGTAGGTCATAATAGTGAGTTGTGATGATGTTCGTAAGCCATAGAGGTCGGAGTCAAGAGTTGCACGAACTATGAAGTGTCACATAGGTCGTAGTGGTTAGCTGTGATGGCATCCGTAGGCTATAGGGGATGCAATCAGCAGCTGCATAAGTATTGAACCACGTAGGTTGTAGTTGGTCATATAGGTCGTTGTGGTGAGTTGCGATGACATCCGTAGACTATAGTGGCCAAAGTCAAGAGTTGCATGAGTTGTTGATCACATAGATAATAATTGGTCACATATGTCATAGTGACAGCTATAATGACATCCATAGGTTGTAGAGGTCAGAGTCAGGAGCTGCACGTGTTGTGGACTACGTAGGTCATAGTTGGTCGGTAAATTATAGTGGTGAGCTACGATGATGTCCATAGGCCACAAAAATCGAGAGGTACATGAGTTATGGATCATGTAAGTCGTAATTGGTAGCATAAGTCCTATTCGTGAGCTGTGTTGACATTCGTAGGCTACGGAGGTTAAAGTCAGGAGTTGCACTAGTTGTGGACCACGTAAGCCATATTTGGCCATGTAGGTTGTAATGGTAAGTTATGATGACGTTCATATGTAATGGGGGTTGGAGTCGAGAGTTGCACAAGTTGTGCACTGCATAGGCTGCGGTGGTGGGCTGCAAGGAGAGAGTCTTAAGAGCTTGAAGAAAGTCGCTATTTTCTGGGTGCATTGTTAAACCGTCTTCAGGAGAAACCGTTGCACTGTTGTGGATGCGTCTTTACATCGTTATCGTGGTGTATCATTGCATCTTATTCGTGGTGCATTATTAAACCGTCTTTGGGAGGCGTCATTGAACCATATAGAAGTTGTGTTCTTTTACAGAATATCTCATTACTCTGCAATATATATTGTGATTCAAAAAGTAGTTTCATTCTAACAAGTCAGGGTTGGTTGATGCTGGTCAACAGTGGCCAACAATCGATGGTTGATAATGGTCGACTACTGCAGGAGTGTGAGGTATTCTGAGTGGTGTTGGACTTCAACTCATCTTACATGCTTCAGTCATATTCTGACTCAAGTCTGCCCCCACCCACCTCAAGTGGGTGATAGGACTCGATTTAGAAAGTTTGTGAGAGGTCTCTTTGTAAATAAGGAATGGATTTAAACCACTCTATCAGACGACCCAGATAGATTTCCTCTTTCTGATTAAGTTCAAAGAACATTTGTGTGTTTTAATGATGTTAGAATTGAACGATCTTGAACTCGTTGAATTCATCTCGCCAAGACGCTCGATTTGACTATAAGTTTCGAGATTTGAAATCTGTTTGACCTTTCAATTATGTATTGAAAACTTTCAAAAACAGTATAATGGCTTGATCTGACTTGATTTAACTCAGATTGGACCAATTTTAGTATCGTTAGGTTTGTTTTGTCGAGTTGGACACTTTAGCTGTAAGTTTGTTGAAATCGAAGCTTTTAATAATTTTTAATCAAAGTTTGAATTTTTCTCTTTTAAAAATTATATCAACATTTGTTCGTGCTTCTAGATTCACGCAATCCCTTAAGATTTGATGTGTGCTATAAAATTCACTGCAGTAGAGTAACGAATTATTGTCTTAGCATTGTATGCGAATTTTACACACACATAGATGAAAGAGAAACATACGGCAGTGACACCAGAGGTTTTTACGTGGAAAACTCGTAAATGGAAAAACCACGGGGCTTGACCCAATTGCAAAAATCTACTATTGGTTGATGATTACAAAAATTCATTGTCCCATAGATGAGAATGGTAATTATATTTTTCAGCTTATAGTGTCCATTGACGTCGTGTGGTTGGTAGTGATTGACGATGGTGGTTAGCAGTGGTCGACGATAGTTGGCGGTGGTAGACAGAAGTTGGATGTGGTTGACGATGGTAGGTGATGGTCAACGGAGGTTGGCGAGGTTGACAGCGGTTGACTTAGTCAATGACAGTCGGTGGTTGAAGATGGTTGATGGTTGTCGAGAAAGGTTGACAGTGGTCGATGACGACCGACAGTAGTCGACGGTGATGTTGAACTGCAGCTTCTCCTCAAAGCCTCAGGCTCTCTCTCTAGGCTTAAGCTCCTCCTCATGAGAGGGATGAAACTCTATTTATAATATTTTGGGTGCAATTAATGCAGGAATATGAATATATTAATGCAGGAATATGAACCATTTTGATCAGACGGTCTGAAGAGATTCACTCGATCATAAGATGTTTAATAGACATTTGAGTGCCTTAAAGATGTCGGAATTAAGTGATATTGGACTCGTTGGATTCGTCTTGTCGAGGCGCTCGACTTGAGCAAAAACTTGACATATTCGACAATCATTTATCCTTCCAAATGTGTCTGAAAATCTTCTAAGCGTGATTCAATTACTTGATCTGGGCTTGATAAGTCTGTCTCATCAAAGCGATCGTTTGACTATATGTTTACTGAAATCTGAATTCTGGATGACTTTTTATCAAGATTTTAATGTTTCTTGCCTAAAAAATAGTCTCGAAATTCATATTATGTTTCAAGATTTATGCCTGATATTGAAAATATGTTGGTGATTTATCAAGATTCATGTCAAATTATGTAAATTTATTAATGAGCATAATAAATAATGATATTTTTTAAATGATACAAAAGATTTGAGTGTTAAAAATTGTCGAATATAAATTTGTGATAGATATGTAAATAGATAAGAACATGGTGGCATAAATATTTAAGTATTAGAAATATGATTTAAATGTGTTATTTACTAAAAAATAGCACGCAAAATAAAAGCGATTATAATTAAATATCTCTCCGCCAAAGTCTGTGCCGGGTAAAGCCGAAATAAAAACCCATTTTTTAATACAGAGCCGCGCATCGCTGCTGGAGGCCGGCGGCAGGGGAAGAATAGTCCGGAGCGGAGCGCTTATATATCTCTTTATCTGATCAGATCTCTAAAGAATTAGGTCTCCAAAATCTGATGCAAGAGCGCGCAGTGGAGTACGAATCAAATTCGAAGAGCAAGCGCGCGGCAATCGGCGAGCAACTAAGGAAGGAAAGCCCCAAGACCGATAAGCAGAGGAGAAGGAATCTGGACGAAGAGTCTGAGGAGGCGGAGATGCCGGCAACGGATATGACTGACGAATCTATTCCTTTCTCGATAGAGGAGATCGTGCAATATCCTCTTCCTGGCTATACGGCGCCGTCGTCGATCAGCTTCAGTCACGACGACCGACTGGTATCGTACTTGTTCAGCTCCGATGGAACGCTTTACCGCAAGATCTTCGCCTTCGATCTCGCGAATCGCCGTCAGGAGCTCGTCTTCAGCCCTCCGGGCGGCGGTGGGCTGGACGAGAGCAATCTCTCATCTGAGGAAAAGCTGAGGAGAGAGAGGTTGAGGGAGAGAGGGCTTGGCGTGACTAGATATGAGTGGAGGGGGACTAGCCCTCACATCGCTGGAAAAGCCAGTATAATGGTTCCCTTGCCTTCAGGAGTAGGTTTCTTGGTCGCGCTCTTTAAATAGTTTTAGGGATGCAAATCATCAAGATAGTTTTTGTTTTTTTCTTTTTCAGATATATTTTCAGGATATATCCGGTTCGGAGCCAGAAATTAGGCTTCGGAGCTCTCCGGAGTCTCCGATCATTGATCCGCACCTGTCCCCGGATGGGACTATGGTCGCTTATGTTAGGGATGACGAACTTTATGTTCTGGATTTGGTAAACGGGGAGCCAAAGAAGTTGACCGATGGTGCAAGAGTAGGTGGAAAGGTTAGTTTCTTTTGACATGCTTTCAATTTGTTTCTTTCTCTGGCTTCATGTCTGAATTCTTTTCACCCTGTGATCGCGCATATTTTCACAAGAATCTTTGTTTTTACGAGCACATGATTAGACCAGCTAAAGGAAACTGCTTTAATCCTAGTTGTAGAAAAGAGCCAAACAACATATTTGCGATCAAAGATCTTGTGAACTTTTAGACTGAAGATCTGTTATTCTACCCCTTGCAGTAACAAGCAAGTCTACTGACAGAATTTTTCTACCTAGTAGATGGGCATTTGTGGGCCCAAAGAGTACAGAGATTCAGATGCTTGTTTTATTGATTGCATGGATTAGGCCAATAAATTTTTATAGTTGCTATTCAACATGGCAATATATCAAAACTTTATTTGGAACTAATATGATACAAACTGATTTAATGCCATAAATCTTTTTTAAAAATAAGTTAGTTAAACAATAATTATTCAAATTAAAAAAAATTAATTGATTCATGAAGGGAAATGAAGATTTATCATTTTATTTTTTGGGAAGAACAACACAAAAAAAAAGAATATACCTCATGCATGAAGGATTTCAGTATCGTTCATCACTAATATGACCTTCAATCATAGGTGGAGCTATACACCTACTTTTGAAGGGCTCTTTTCAATTACTTCAAGCATGTGGCCTTTAATCACAATGGATGCTGCTAATTTTCTTCAAAGCTTGTTGTTAAATAGTGTGAATCAAAGAGGGTCAATTTAGTTTAAATTTAGGTACACCAATAATTAAATTCATTTTCAATGTAATAAAAGCGAATGGGTGAGCATGGCCAACCACTTTATTTTTCTATAAAAATATATCGTTAATCAATCTGATGTGAGAATATACCTAAAATATGGAGCATTAATGTCGACATGAGACACAAACATGTCATTATACATATCTGTTGTGTGATATACGATAGCAGTTGTTGTGGTATATATATAGAAATAAAATAACAGAATGATCTTTGACGAAGCGAAAAATAGAATGAGAAAATTCACACCAGAAAAACAGTAACCACAGATTTATATGATTTTGCAAATTGCCTACGTCCACGGAGTTGTAGATGATTTTACTATTTGAGGAGTTTACACCAGTAGATCACCTCGACTTTCAAGATGAATCTCTCACTCTTCGTTGCTCTCTCTTTTCTTCTCTTTCTCTGTTCTTCTCTCTCAACACCAAGATACACCGAAGAAGACGAACTTACAAGAGAAATAAACCTAATTTTTCTTCTGCCACAAGCCACCAAGAAGAAGCCTAGGGAGAAAAATCTTCTTTTTCTTCCTTCTTCCTTCTTCCTTCTACCGCATGGAACTACACCTTGCACTTCTCTTCCTCTATCCCGTGGAAGCAGAAACTATCGAAGAAAGCAAACTGTCATACTTCACTGAATGAGAGCCCTATGATTCCTCTTATCGCGAATAGGTAGGTGCGACGATTCGCGAAACAGCAGAGGCGGGAACTATTCCTCTGTCGCTAACGACGCTAGGCGGGAGATGCATCTTTTGCGATCGGGCGCGGGAGCGGGAAGCTGGAGCGGGAGATCTGGAGGCGGGATTGGGATTGGGATCAGGATCATGCTCCAGCACAACAAATCTCCCACTTAGAGAACAATACATATGCTACATCGTCTTCTTCCAAACTGATATCCTTCACTGGCGGCGTCGCCCTTTCCTTCAAACATGAATCCTCCACCTCTGCAACTCAAGGCCTCTGTCTTCACTCCAGAAGACCAGCTGAAGCTGTACACAATTTCAATTTCTCAAGAGTAACACCCTCAGTCAACATATCAGCAAGGTCCACATAGCATTGCACTTCCAAGCTATTTCTTAGATTACTCTTGTCTTTTCTTACAACTCTAACTGCATGGACAATATCCTGTCTCTGCTGAAAGCTTTTTTCAACAAGTTTTTCAACAAGTCTAGTCTTGTAAAGTCTAGTCTTGTACCTCTTATTGCTATCATGCTCAGTCTTCATCCGATACACTCTTTTGTTGTGTAATGTCTTCTTCCCTAGTGGAAGTTCTGTCAACTCTCACTTGCTCGAATTTTCATATTGCAAGACTTCTTCAGAGCTCTGTGGTTCTCCAACATCTGTTTGTTGAACAACAGGAATGGGTGTCTCGGACCCACTCTCTTCTTCACTTCCATCATCAACAAAACTATGAACTATCAACAATAGTGCATCATGTACTTCTTCAAATGCCACATTTGCGCTATCATTCTCTATATTCGTGGGATTCCTGCAGTTCCTCTTTATGTGGTCTGTCTTGCCACAATTCCAGCAGGTTGTCTGCTGATCAGACTTTGATTTTGATCTCCCTCTATTTGAGTTTCTGTCTTGTCATCTCTCTCTGAAATCAACATTCAGTGTCGAACTCGTACCTGAGATCTCGCCAGAATTTTTCCTGTGCACTTATTTAGCTAAATTCAAATCACGAATATCATCACATTTCAGTTTTGATTTACCTGCAAAACTGCTAACTGTCATTCTCATAGTTTCTCAATCATTTAGCAACGATGTCAACAATATCAAAGCACGTGTATCATCATCAAAATCAATTTTAACAGACGACAATTGATTTGTGATAGTATTGAAATCCTTCAGGTGTTAGTTTCTCAATTATTTAGCAACGATGTCAACAATATCAACGCACGTATATCATCATCAAAATCAATTTTAACAGACGACAATTGATTTGTGATAGTATTGAAATCCTTCAGGTGTTGAGCAATATAAACAACTTCCGTCATCTTCAAATTGAATAACTTTTTCATCAAGTACACCTTGTTATTCGCCGATGGTTTTCATACATACCTGGTAAGACTGTCATGAGATCTGCAGTCGTCCTCTCCTTGACGACGTTGTGTGCAACAGACATCGATATGGTTAATAGAATAACCCCCAGAACTTGACGATCCAATAGATTCTATTCAGTTTCATCCATTCTTTCTGGTCTTTTCCCCAATAACGGAAGATGAAGTTTCTTCTCATAGAGATAGTCTTCTATCTGCATCCTCCAATAACCAAAATCTGTGCCATCAAATTTTTCGATCCCTGAAGCCTTCACTTCATCTGCAGCCATCATTCTTCGTCAGATCCGAACAAAGCTCTGATATCAGTTGTGTGATATACAATAAAAGTTATTGTAGTATATATATAGAAATAAAATTGGAGAACGATCTTTGACGAAACGAAAAATAGAATGAGAAACCTACACCGAAACACACCGAAGAAGATAAACTTATAAGAGAAATAAAAACACACCGAAGAAGATAAACTTGTAAGAGAAATAAACTCAATTTCTCTTCTGCCACAAGCCACTAAGAAGAAGCCAAGGGAGAACAATTTTCTTCTTGTTCTTTCTTCTTCTTTCTACTGCAAGAAATTACACCTTGCATTTCTCTTCCTCTATCCCGTAGAAGCAGAAACTACCGAAGAAAACAAAAGGTTGTGTTTCACTGAATGAGAGCCCTGTGATTCCTCTTATCGCGAACCGCGAAACGGCTGAGGCGGGAACAGTTTCTCTGTCGCGAACGATGTCAGGCGGGAGACACATGTTTTGCGACCGGGCGCTGGAGCGGGAAGCGGGAGAGGGAGATCGGGAGGCGGGATTGGGCTCCAACACAACACATATCATACTTCATGAATATCTCCTCCACTAGTCAACGTCGATGTAAGAAAAATGTGATTCAATTAATTGAATATATCTCTAATTACACCCGTTCATGTATCCTAGTCACCGAAATAATGTGGAAGATAAATTCAATTGCCTAAATTCACTCGGATTAACAGATAACACATTACTCTGATTTAATCGAATTATTAAATTAAGCGGAAATAATTCAAAATATTTAAATTAAATAAATCTATAGAGTATCTAAAAGACATCAAAATTTTTATAAAAAGGATAATTTCTTTTGTTAATCACTGCAAAATTTCTATATCATATTATAGTTGTATTATAAAAATATGATCATAAAATTTTATTGATTCAACTTCCCTCTAACTTTATTTTTTTTTTTCCAATAAAAATATTTACAACAATCTAGTGAGCTATGAGAATTAAGAAGATACAAAAGTTTAATATTGAATTTAAATAATATGAAAATTAAAATAATTTAATGTTATTTCTTATAATCGTTATAAAATAAAATTATTTGAACAATAATTTGTCTAATCATAAATACAACATTTTCTTGAAAGAATTTAAGAAAATATATTAATATTTATAATGTTGTAAATACTGTTTTGATATATGCATGATATCAAACTTTCTTAATTTTTTATATATTATTTATCTCACTTGTCTCAATCATTCCTTGGCATAGAAAGGAATATTTTCTCTCAGCTTTAGAATATATTATGTATCTAAGATTAAGCTAAATGTTGGGGCTCACCCTTGCCTTTGTATGGGCTCACATTTATCATCCTACTTATACAGTTTTCATATTTATGTAGGAGCTCACTTTTGTCTCTCTACCTGTACAAGTTACAATATTCATTTATGGCTCATCTATATTGCTTAACTTGTACATGTATTATGAATTGTCATTGTCAACTTCTCCCTCATATCATGATTTTGTTAAGCTTAATATTATTTTATTATTAAACACTCAAACAAACATTTGGTTTAATTTTAAGAAAGATTTACATACATACCGCTCAATTCTTATGTATTTACATATCTAACTCCTAAACTTGAATTTTTACATGCACATCATCTTACTTATGCATGAAAAGTTGTATTTCATATTTTAAAAGTTACAATGGTAGTATTTTTGAGGTGATATAAAAGACTTGGGTGTTCTAAATATAAAAAGAAAAGTTTAGATGTTAGATATGTAAATACATGGGAATTGTGTGGTATTTTTGTAAAGGCCTCTAAATTTAAATATATTGGATAATAGTGATACAATTGTGCAGTTTACGGGTATCAGATGTATTCATTTAAAAGTGCCACCAAC